AGACTGAATGGTGGGGCTAAACTGCTGTAGACTGAATGGTGAGGCTAAACTGCTGTAGACTGAATGGTGAGGCTAAACTGCTGTAGACTGAATGGTGAGGCTAAACTGCTGTAGACTGAATGGTGGAGCTGAACTCATGTAGACTGAATGGTGGGGCTAAACTGCTGTAGCTGAATGGTGGAGCTAAACTGCTGTAGACTGAATGGTGGAGCTGAACTCATGTAGACTGAATGGTGGGGCTAAACTCCTGTAGCTGAATGGTGGAGCTAAACTGCTGTAGACTGAATGGTGGAGCTGAACTCATGTAGACTGAATGGTGGGGCTAAACTGCTGTAGCTGAATGGTGGAGCTAAACTGCTGTAGACTGCATGGTAGAGCTAAACTGCTGTAGACTGAATGGTTGGGCTATATTGCTGTAGACTGAATGGTGGGGCTAAACTGCTGTAGACTGAATGGTGGGGCTAAACTGCTGTAGACCGAATGATGGAACTAAACTCCTGTAGACTGAATGGTGGAACTAAACTCCTGTAGACTGAATGGAGGGGCTAAACTGCTGTAGACTGAATGGTGGAGCTGAACTCATGTAGACTGAAAGGGGGGGGGCTAAACTGCTGTAGCTAAATGGTGGAGCCAAACTGCTGTAGCTGAATGGTGGAGCTAAACTGCTGTAGACTGCATGGTAGAGCTAAACTGCTGTAGACTGAATGGTTGGGCTATATTGCTGTAGACTGAATGGTGGGGCTAAACTGCTGTAGGCTGAATGGTGAGGCTAAACTGCTGTAGACTGAATGGTGGGGCTAAACTGCTGTAGACCGAATGGTGGAACTAAACTCCTGTAGACTGAATGGAGGGGCTAAACTGCTGTAGACTGAATGGTGGAGCTGAACTCATGTAGACTGAATGGGTGGGGCTAAACTGCTGTAGCTAAATGGTGGAGCTAAACTGCTGTAGCTGAATGGTGGAGCTAAACTGCTGTAGACTGAATGGGTGGGGCTAAACTGCTGTAGACTGAATGGGTGGGGCTAAGTTGATGTACCTGTGTAAATAAACTCCAGCAGCACCTCAAACACCTCGGCCTCCACTCCAGCTATGTGCACCTCCTCCTCGTGAGCTTCACTCATCCCTCCAGAGAAGAGTGCGCTAAAGTACGGCCCGCTGGCCGCCAGAACCAGCCGGTGGACCTGGAACACACGCCCGCCTACCAGCAGCCGGACGTCGCAGAAGTCCGAGCGCAGGCGCAGCCTGTTGATGTGCGAGAGCAGCAGGCAGGCATGGCGCTCCGATGTGTACACAGTCCGGTCCGCCGTGTGGCTGGACACCGTGGTCCCAGTGAGGTCACTTCCTCCAGGCAGCGCGGTGAAGGCAGACGTGCAGGCAAACGACATGGTGGCGCCGGATGGCTCTCCTTTAGCGCTCTACAGCGGCAGCACTGCGAGTCCACAGAACCATCACTCGGCTCTCAGTCTGAAACAATGAAGGGGTCAATCCATGTGAAATCACCGAAGACCTGCTGACTGACCATCTCAACCCACTCAACATGTGAGAATTTAAAGGGCCTGTATCCCACATTTTCCTTGTATTTGAGGAGCTCTGCAACATTTCAGAGGATTTATGTAGTAAAAACAGCCATAATTCATTTGTACGTGATCATTTTCCAGCCTCTCTTCGTCCCCTAAGGTTGATCTATGTAAATGAGCTCTGTTCTGATTGGCTGCCCAGGCTGAAACACTCTTTGTAACTTCAGAATGAATGGGCGTGGCTAAACTGATGTAATTGAACACAAGAAAATGTAGGATATGGGCCCTTTAATGCCTCTAAAAGCTCCCTCACAGAAAGTTCCTACATGAAATGGTTATGAATTCACTGCCTGATGACTGAGACACTGTTTTAGGATAGTTTTGAGAAGATTTTGGCTCCAAAACATGTTTTTAAAACACATTCATGGTGGAGGGACACATGCAGGGCGTTGAGAGGCACAAATAGTCCCCAGAGAAAGCGTATTATTTCCAGATTTATCAGTATTTGACCATCATCGAATCTCCATATAAGCACTCCGCGCCGGGTCAGTTAGATCAGTAAATAAAGAGCAACCAACACACACCAGCTCACTGTACCGCCCCTGTTCTACAGACTACACACACCACCCGGCCGGACCGGCGTGTGGCCGCGCTCCCGCTGCCGTCCGGACACTCACCGCGGTGTTTACCTGTTTATTGGTTTGTTTTTTGGTGTTATTTAGCAGCTCCAGCGTGAGGTAGCACCGTTTTCCGCATCTCAATCGATTTCTCTGCTATCAGCTCTGCGCCCTGGAACAGACCACAAGAGTAGAACCCCGAGCGCTCTAGACCGCACGTAAACAAAACATTTTAAACAGAATAAATGATTAAATTACACGAGTACTACAAATATTAGAGCTGAAAATAATATAAAAATAAATATACACGTTTTAAACAGTAAAACACACCGTGTTTTTGTTTATTTGGCTCTGTTGCCGCTGGGTGGAGCTGCGCGGCCGTTTACTGAGCAGCGGAAACAGCGACTCAGACACGGAGAGTGGAGTTAGACTGAACGGTGATCGGTACATAATGAGCTAACGGTGATAAACGGACCAAACACGGCCTAAAGACACAATATACACCCTATTAGTCCTTCAGCAGCTGTGAACTGCGGAAACACGAAGCTCAAACTGGCTTCTTATTCAAACTCGCCATTCTACCTTAAACGGTACAGCTCCTACAGTCGGGCGTCTCAGGCAGCGGAGCGCAACAGCACCGTTTAAGGTGGAACGGACAATTCAACCAAGACACCAGCGAATTATAAGTTGTATAGGGACTGAAGTTTGTTAAGTGCTGTTTTTTATTTGTAAAGAAAACATAAAATGATAAAAGTACGAAGAATCAAATTAATTACAAAAAAGTATAAAGCCACTTTATAAGATATATCTTATGTTTCCACTCACTGGCCACTTTATTAGAAACACCTACCTTGTGCTTCCACTAACTGGCCACTTTATTAGAAACACCCACCTTCACTCACTGGTCACTTTATTAGAAACACCCACCTTGTGCTTCCACTCACTGGCTACTTTATTAGAAACACTTACCTTGTGCTTCCACTAACTGGCCACTTTATTAGAAACACCCACCTTGTGCTTCCACTCACTGGCCACTTTATTAGAAACACCCACCTTGTGCTTCCACTCACTGGTCACTTTATTAGAAACACCCACCTTGCGCTTCCACTCACTGGCCACTTTATTGGAAACACCCGCCTTGTGCTTCCACTCACTGGCCACTTTATTAGAAACACCTGCCTTGTGCTTCCACTCACTGGCCACTTTATTAGAAACACCCACTTTGTGCTTCCACTAACTGGCCACTTTACTGGAAACACCTACCTTGTGCTTCCACTCACTGGTCTTTATTAGATACGCCTACCTATATTTTTCTCCTTGCATTCAATACTGATGATTATTATCAAATACCAAAAACATCTCAAACATGCATTATCACTGATACAGAAGTAGAGTGTGATTTTATTGATTATTGATTACTGTTGTATCAGTCAGGCCTGACTGTGAGTGCTGATCAGAGGGGTGAAGTCAGGTCAGCGTGACTCAGCAGAACTCTCAGGCTGGTAACCAGATGACTTCATATGTCGTCACCTGGAACAGCCCTGTCTACACACACACACACACACGCACACTCACTCACACACACACACACACTCACACACACACATACACACACACACACACTCACATACATACGCACACACACACACTCACACACATACACACACACACACACTCACATACATACGCACACACACACACTCACACACACACACACTCACACACACACACACTCGGCTCGTAATCCCCTCAGTCCTGCTGAAGGCTCATCAGCAGGGTGAACCTGAGACTCAGGGTTTGGTGGGGGTTGATTCGTGAATTCCTGTATTAAACTGAAAACAGTTCACAGTATTACATGTTTTACCTTATGAAGCTCGTTGGGCCTCATTCACCAACCATTCTTAAGAAGAAGTTTCTTCTTAAAACCCACTTACACAGTTCTGACGAAGACTCTGACTCACCAATGTTCTCTTATTTGGGGTTTGTTCTTAGGTAAGAACAGAATTTACACTCAGGAGCACAAAGGGGAGAACAGTTCTGCGCTTTAACCCTCTACTGAGAACAATTTAAATAAAAAAAAATAAATAAAATCAATTCACATTTCTTGCATACAATTGGCCTGATTATAAAATTTCAAAACATTAAAAAAAAATAATGTGTGCAGGGCTCGTTTTGGGGTATGTGACATTGTGTGACAACGGGAAGAAATCATATAGAGCCATGTTCCCTGAAGTGGTGAGACCTGACTGGTCAATTCCATCCCACTGTCACACAATGTTGCTTCTAGGCAACAAACATATTTCTGCAAATTCTCATAACAAAAAATTGATACTCATTGTTTAAAAAGAGGTTTAAATGTGCCCACTAAGAGACAGTATGACCAAGGGTATGCTCTTTATTGACACACTCAAACTCTTCCCTTTATTCTTAACCCTGTCATTGTCTTTAAATATGGATGATGTTATTGTAAAGTGAGGAAAATGGGTTTGTTGCCCTGAGGCAACATCATTCAGTAGAGGGTTAAGAACACGGCGTAGAATCTGACGTAGACTTTTTCTGAGGACCTTTCTCAACAACACACTTAAAAACACACTTAGGAAGATGTTGGAGAACGAGGCCCATTGTAAATATACACTCATTCCAAATACGATGCCTGCAACACATCCGAGAACAGGACAGGATCGTGTTCACACTGTTACATCACCCTTTAGTTAACAGCACTTAATAATCGTTTGGAGACTGAAGCAACAAACTGATCAACCTTTGAAAGAGATTTTTTTTATTTTACCATTCTTCAGTTATACAAGCCATCAGCTGTTCAGCTGTACAAGACCTTCATTGTCATATTTTGAGCTTAATAAGACACCCATGTCCAGTGGGAGACAGTTCTGGACAGCAGGCAGGTCAGTCTAGCACCTGCACTCTCTGATTACCCAGCCATGCTGCTGTAATACGTGTGTCATGTCATAAAAATCATGGACGTCCCTGAAAAAGACGGCGTCTAAAAGGCAGCATATATTTTTTCGGAGTGTGTTCAGTGTTAATGGAGCTTTCACAGATGCAGGTTACCCACTAATGCCCACCACATACACCATGGTAGATGCTGGATCTAGAACTTTACACTGGTAACAGTCTGGATGGTCCTTTTCTTCTTTTCTGCCCTGAGAACACAACATCCATTATTTCCATAAACAATCTAAAAGGTTGGTCGTCGGACCACAATATTTATTACTGTATTCATAAACCACCAGTGAACCTACACGAGTCTTCTGAGTTTATATGAATGTTGATGATGGAAAATAGTGGAAAATCTGAAATAATAAGTTTTCTTTGGGGACTATTTTGCCTCACAGCGCCCTGCATGTATCCCTCCACCATGAATGGAGTTTAAGTTCTCTAAACTATCATAAAACAGTGTCTCAGTCATCAGGCAGTGAATTCATAACCATTTCATGTAGGAACTTTCTGTGAGGGAGCTTTTAGAGGGGGACGTCTGGTTCCTATCACCACCACTGTGAACAGTTCTGACTCGGTAAGTTTCTCTAGAACAGAGAGTTTCACATTAAACCACTCTGAACTACTGGTGTGTCTGATCCACTCGCACCAGCACAACACACACTAACACACCACCACCACATCAGTGTTACTGCAGTGCTGAGAATGATCCACCACCCAAATAGCACCTGCTCTAAGGGGGTCCTGTGGGGGTCCTGACCACTGAAGAACAGGGAGAGATATGCAGAGAAACAGATGGACTACAGTCTGTAACTGTAGAACTGCAGAGTGAAACTCTATGGTCAGTGGAGCTGATAAAGTGGACAGTGACATGGATGTTCACCATGTCCAGTGCCCAGCGTGGGCTAAAGGGGTATAAAGCCCCCCAGCATTGGGCTGTGGAGCAGTGGAACTGTGTTCTCTGGAGTGATGGAGCTCCATCCAATACCTTTGGGATAAGTTGGAGTGATCCAGAACTGACCATCCAACATCAGTACCTTACCTCACTAATGCTCAATCAAATCCTCACAGCAATGTTCAACATCTAGAGTAAAGCCTTCCCAGAAGTGTAGAGGCTGTTAGTGCAGCACAGACTCACTATTAACACCCTTCATTTCAGAAGCAATGCTGGAGCAGCAGATGTTATAATGTTATTATATATTTATTACAACACTTAATAAACACACCAGTAACACACAGGATCTGAAAATATCCCAAGATTTTATTCTTGATTCTCATAAAAAGATCATGAAAGAGTTTAAAAAACAGAGAAGTAGAAAAGCCCACTCTGATACGTAACATACAGGCAGTGCACAGATTAGCAGGTTAATAAGTGTTGAGTGGACAAAACCTGACGCCTTACAGAGACGTCTGATCTGTTTATCTAATCCCAGTCACCAATTACTGGACAATCAGGTCATTTTCTGGACTGAGGGCTGTCGAGTTCCCATTTAAGGGGAATTCCACCGAATGTCATGGACAAAGCTGGCTGGTTTGTGAGGGTATTTTGGGGATGTTGACAGTCTTGATTGTCGCATGTATCCCCACAGTTCAGAGGAGCCACTGTTAGGTATGAACAGCAAAACATCAGCTTTGGAACGTTGTGTTCACCACAAGGTGCAGCAGTGTTGATTTTCAAAAACACTGTCCATTTTTCCTCATTTCCTTATGAGGGTACGACACGACTTCAGACGCCCACTGGAGTTGGGGTCTTACACGCTTCTAACGAAGAGATCTGATCAGTTTATTAAAAACACACATAGAACCATCCTGAGTGCTGCAGCTCACTCTCACAGTCCCGCTGCCCACCGGAAGAGTGAACGTGCTGATCTGAACCCAGTTTAAAAAGCCCAGTTTAAACCAAAACTCACTGCCAGAGCAGAAAAGACTGGCAACACTCGGTTTACATAGTTCCATCATTCACATGAGAAAAGTGTCAAAACGGAGCTGAACGAGGATAAAATGAAGTGGTGATCCGACCGTTTACAGCAAGACATGCACAATAACGGAAAACAGCACCAGCCCAGAAAACGAGGCCTGTGCAAACCATTTACACCACTTAAAGAAAAGGCCTTAGAGCAAAATCATAACTCAGAGTCTCATAAATATGACTTAGTATCTCATTATTACGACTTAGTATCTCATTATTACGACTTAATATCCCTTATTATGACAAGTGTCTCATAAGTATGACTTAGTATCTCATTATTATGACTTAGTGTCTCATAATTATGATTTAGTATCTCATTGTTATGACTTATATCTCTTTATTATGGCTTTGTATCTTATTTGACTTAGTATCTCATTACTTTGACTTACTATCTTATAACTATGACTTTATGTTTAACTATTCTGACTTTGTATCTCATGATTTTGACTTAGTATCTCATTATTATGACTTAGTGTCTCATAATTATGGCTGTCATTTTTTAAAATAACAAGTCATAATTATGAGATATGTCATATTTATAACAGAAGAAAGTCATTATTATGCGTCGCTAAGTCACTATTAGACTATTGGAAAGTATATCATAGTAAGACGCTAAATCATAAATATGAGATATTATGTCATAATTATAAGATGCCAAATCATAATTATGAAATAATTCAAAATATGAGATGCACATTCATAAATATGAAATAGCAAGTCATAATTATAAAATACTAAGTCATAATAATGAGATTGAATCTCATAGGATAGCAAGTTATAATTATGAAACTGAGTCATAATTATAGCAACAAAAATTCTTGTTGTGAGACACTAAGTCATAATTATGAGATAGGATCTCATTATTATTACATAATAAGTGAGAATTGCTATATAGTATCTCATTATCATAAGATATGAAGTCATTATGAGATCCTAAGTAGTAATTTTGACATATTGCATCATAATTATGAGATCTCATCTCATTATTATGACAAAGTAAGTCATAATTATGACATACTCAGTCACGATTATGGGAAACTTTCTCATTATTATGGTTCCCTAAATGTCTAGATTTTTTTCAGTGGTCTAAATGGGCTTGAGTTAAATATGAGATTATGAATTTAAATCGTCCCGAAGCTGAGAACCTTTAACCCCTGAACATGATCAGTGTGCAATAATATCACTCTTTAAAGGGAACAAGCACCAGTTCTACAGCTCCAGTCAAATATCTGGATCTGAATGAAGGTTTTTCAGATCTGCTGATCTAAAAGCCGATGATGAAATGCTCTAAATCTGATTCTAACACAAACATAAATTATGATTTTTTATATGTGAAATTTCTCAGAGGAAAGTTGTGTATTTATACATTTTTATAAGATGACTGTTTTAAAAAGAAGCATTAAAGTGAAGACACTGTAAAACACTGAAAATCAGTTCAACTTCAAAAAGTTCTAAATACACTTTAAAAATGATCCAAAATGTTAACTGTGAGGTGATAACCTGGTCAGCCTTAAAATTCTGAGGTCACTGAACTTCTAATATCAAGTCAACAGGAGTATAATTTGTGTCTCACATTCTGTTTCAATGAAGTCAACATTTTAAGCTAACTAGGTTATTAGTTACTGTTAAGAGTTAAAAAGTTGCATGTTTTTTCTGTGTATTTTAATCTCAGCTCAGTCAGTAAATGAATGTGCTTCTTTCCTTATAGGCTGACGTTGATTTATGGAAAACGTCTGATGAAACTAAGCTGATAAATTAAAAACGCTGTGCAGAAGGTTGACTTAGATTCAAGTTGACTTTACTTTTAATGTTTTACAGTGGACCCAAAAATGTACAGCTTATATCCGTTTTTCTCAGAGTGCAAAAATAAATGTTACATTTCTCCGTAATTCAGAAAGATTTAGTCCCAATCTATACATTTCATAAATGCAGGTATGCTGTATGTGGAACTGATCAGAAATCAGCATCACAATTTCCATCTGTGCATCCCTATTTTTTGCATCTTTGATGTTTTCAATATTATTCTAAAATATGGAAAATAAGAGAATAAAGAATAAAACTAAAAACGATTGACTGGAACTGTAGAATCATTGATTTTCCTTTAGTATAAAGCGGCGCGCTCTGTCAGTGAGAGCTTTAACGCCTGTAAACATGTCAATCACAGACTCAGATCTCTTCCTGAAGCTCAGATAGCGCAGCGTGGTGGTCTGTGGAGTGGTGTGGCGGTCTGTGAGACAGTGTGGTGGATTGTGGAGTGATGTTGGTGGACTGTGAGACAGTGTGGTAGTCTGTGGAATAATGTGGAACAGTGTGGTGGTCTGTGTAGTGGTGTGGTGGTCTGGAATGGTGTGAAATGGTGTGGTGGTCTGTGAAACAGTGTGGTGATCTGAGGAACATTGTGGAATGGTGAGGTGATCTATGGAAGGGAGTGGTAGGTCTGTGGAACAGTGTAGAATTGTGAGGTGGTCTGTGGAAGGATGTGGTGGTCTGTGGAACGGTGTTGTGGTTTGTGGGATGGTGTGGTGGTCTGTTGAACAGTGTGGTGTCTGTGGAGCAGCGCGGTGATCTGTGGAACATTGAGGAATTGTGGCAGTGTGGTGATCTGTGGAACATTGTGGTCTATTGAAGGGTGTGGTGGTCTGTGGAACATTGTGGTCTATTGAAGGGTGTGGTGGTCTGTGGAACAGTGTAGAATTGTGAGGTGGTCTGTGAAACAGTGTGGTGATCTGTGGAGCAGTGTGGTGATCTGAGGAACATTGTGGAATTGTGAGGTGGTCTGTGGAAGGATGTGGTGGTCTGTGGAACAGTGTGGAATGGTGAGGTGGTCTGTGGAATGGCAATGTGATCTATGGAAAGGTGTGGTGGTTTGTGGAACAGTGTAGAATTGTGGGGTGGTCTGTGGAATGGTGAGGTGGTCTGTAGAACGGTGTGGTGGTTTGTGGGATGGTGTGGTGGTCTGTGGAACAGTTTGGTGTCTGTGGAGCAGCGCAGTGATCTGTGGAACATTGAGGAATTGTGGCAGTGTGGTGGTCTGTGGAACATTGTGGTCTATGGAAGGGTGTGGTGGTCTGTGGAACAGTGTAGAATTGTGAGGTGGTCTGTGAAACAATGTGGTGATCTGTGGAGCAGTGTGGTCTATAAAAGGGTGTGGTGGAGTGTGGGATGGTGTAGTATTTGAAGTCTGGTGTTGTAGTCTGTCGAATGGGGTGGTGGTCTGTGGGATGGTGTGGTAGTCTGTGGGATGGTGTGGTGGTCTGTGGGATGGTGTGGTGATCTGTGGGATGGTGTGGTGGTCTGTGGGATGGTGTGGTGATCTGTGGGATGGTGTGGTAGTCTGTGGAACGGTGTGGTGGTTTGAGGGATGGTGTGATGGCCTGTGGACCAGGGTGGTGGCCTGAAGAAGAGTGTGGTGGTTTGTGGAACGGTGTGGTGATCTGTGGAGTGGTGTTGTGGTCTGTGTAACTGTATGGTACTCCATGGAACGGCATGGTGGTCTGTGGAACAGCGTCCCTTCAGAAAAGTGCAAAAGTGAACACAATCCTCACGCTGTCCTTCAGCATGTGCAGCTTGTGTCGGCTGACGGTGGTGACGACTGCAGTGCACTACTGTTCAAACGCTCAGATTCACTGTCTCCAATCACACTAAACCAGCTTTATCACACATAAATGTATATAATTATTCTAATATTAGAAACGTCGTGGGTTTAAAATAACCAGTAAGCTGTAAATAATAACATAGAACTGTCGTCCAGAATGATGGAGAGAGCTGTAGAAGACTGTAAATTGAGAGAGAAAGCTGTAGAGCTCCAAGAAAGTTCTAATAAAGGAGTATCCAGAATGAAGCTCCAATCAAATGAATATCAGAAATGATGAGGCAGAGAAAAATATGTAAATATAAGACATTACAGTACATTATTTGTTTGTATTAACTTGATTATGTTCCAGAAAAGTTGAAGTATTGAATAAAAGCACACACAGATAAAAATCTGATCTGGTGTCTAATCTGTAAGGTTACTCTGTATTAGACATTGTCGTATATGAAACACTAACGGTGATGTATGTAATGAGTGACTGTGGGCGTTTGAACAGTAGTGTGTCTGCGGGGGGTTGTTGGGGGGTGTTTAGCTGGGTACAGACGGTGTGTGTGTCGTGTGCGGAGTGTGTACGGGGAAGGCGAGCCGGACATCCAGAGCGCGGTTGTGTTGTGCGAGTGATGTTCGGTGATAGTGCTGCACCAGCGCCTTCAGAGAGCCGTGCAGGTCGTACGGCTCAGCAAAGCCGAAACCACGCGGGGTGTGGAGGATCACGCAGTGCCGGACCTCGTCGTTCACCCTGCAGACAACACAACAACACAACATCAGAACACAACAACGCAACACAACACAACATCAGAACACAGTGCAAGAAACGCTGCACAATTTGCTGAGATCAGTATAAAACAATAAAACATAAAATGTGCCATTACTTTTGCACAGGCCATGATTTATGTTTTATTTGTCTCCTAATGTGTTAAAGTTAGTTAATAAACAGTAACTGTGTACTAAAATGTACAGAAGTGTGTCTGTAGAGGACGTGTCGACCTAATTATACTCAAAAAATCAACAACATGTCATCTCACCAGGGGTGCTGAAACTTTTGCACATGGCTGTATAGCTTTCATTAGCAACATCTTTAACATCAGAAACAACTTCATTCCCAAAGTGAACCAACCAGGAATTCCAGGAGGTCCACAAATGTCCAAAATATATCGGGAACCTCATCAGTCTGTCCAACTCTAAATGTAGGTATTGTGATATATTGTGATGAACTGTGATATATTGTGATATATTGTGATGTATTATGATACATTGTGATGTATTGTGATATATTGTATATAATGTGATATATTGCGATATACTGTGATGTATTGTGGTATAATGGGATCTACATTGATAAATTGTGATGTAATATATTGTGATATACTGTGATATATTGTGATATACTGTAATATAATGTGATATATTGTGATATTGTATAAAATATTGTGATATATTGTGATGTACTGAGTGAATAACTGGCTCTAAATAGGTAGGTATTGTGATATACTGTGATGTACTGTGATATATTGTGATGTATTGTGATATACTGTGATGTATTTTGTGATATACTGTGATATATTGTGATGAAGTAAGTGAATAACTGGCTCTAAATAAGTATTTTGATATATTGTGATGTATTGTGATGTACTGTGATACATTGTGATATACTGTGATGTATTGTGATATTGTGATATACTGTGATATATTTTGATATATTGTGATATATTGTGATGTATTGTGATGTACTGTGATATATTGTGATATATTTTGATGTATTGTGATGTGATATTGTGGTGTACTGTGATATGTTGTGATGTACTGTGATATATTGTGATGTATTGTGATATATTGTGATGTATTGTGATGTACTGTGATACATTGTGATATACTGTGATGTATTGTGATATTGTGATATACTGTGATATATTTTGATATATTGTGATATATTGTGATGTATTGTGATGTATTGTGATGTACTGTGATATATTGTGATGTATTGTGATGTGATATTGTGGTGTACTGTGATATGTTGTGATGTACTGTGATATATTGTGATGTACTGTGATATATTGTGATGTATTGTGATATATTGTGATGTACTGTGATATATTGTGATGTATTGTGATGTACTGTGATATATTGTGATGTATTGTGATGTATTGTGATGTACTGTGATGTACTGAGTGTACATCTGTCTCTCTTACACTACAGAGCAGGCGTAACAGTCCTTCTTGCTGCTGCTACTCCTGATGAGGAACGCTCCAGAAGGTTTTCCCTCCAGCAGCTCCTCCGCTTCAGCTCGCGACAGATTACCCACAAACCAACTGGCCTCCTCCAGACACCGTACACCTTCATCACCACCATCATCATCGTCCTCACAGCGCTGCTCCTCCTCCGCACACAGTCGCCTGAGAACACACGAACACCCATCAGCTCAAAGCTTCTCAACACAGAGACTTTTATTTTGTAAACTCAGTCCTGTTATGGGTCAACAGCTGATCCTTCATTTAAGGGAACTTATTCATGGTATTAAAATAGAAAAAAACTGTTTTTAAAGACAACAGCAGCTGTTATTACTCATATTATCTCACTTATTAGAATAATTGTGTCTCTTTTTAAAGGTTTCAATGTAATGATACCTGTTATTAATCATATTTTGTCATTTATTAAAATAGTTTAGCTGTTTTTAAAAGTTTAAAGTTAATACTACTTGTTATTAATCATATTTTGTCACTTATTAGAATAATTTTAGCTTCGAATTTAGAATTAGAATTAGTTTCTAAAGGTTTGGAGTTAATAATACCTCTAATTAATCATATTATCTCCCTTAATTATAATAATAATGTCTATTTTAATACAATACCTATTATTAATCATATTATCTTACTTATTAGAATAATGTTGCCTGCTTTTAAAGGTGTATAGCTAATAATGCCTGTTATTAATCATATTATCTCACTTATTAGGAAAAATATGGTTGTTTATAATGGTTTAAATGCGATAGTAGATCTACAGTCACTTTTTTTATATCATCAGATTAATTTTTTTATATTTTGAATGCACTGAAAAGTAAAATGTGCCACTATTTGTCACTTCTCCTCTACAATCAAGTAATTAAAGGTGTTGAACTGTAACACTTTAGTGTTTATAAGGCTACACAACACCTACATAAACCCTTTATGACAACAGAAACTTACATAAACATTTACAGAGGCTTATTTCCACAATCATCACCAGCTGAGGTGAAATTACATTAAACCTGACTAAGGGAGTGTTTATGGCAGCTGGGCTTTATAGTGTTTATGTAGGTTTATAAGTGTTTATGTAGATTTATATCAGCTGTATGAAGGGCCCATATAACTCATTACCAACTCATTACACTCTTGCTTTGTATTCTCCCACAATAACCTCATCACATAACATCATGATTAACTTTATTTACATAAAATTTACACACAATTTACATCAATTAGCTTTGGTTCCAGATTTCTAAGGGTACCCACTGGTGATGTATTCACTGTTACAGACTGATTACTGTCGCTGTCAGAACAAAACCTTGTATCTCCATTTTTGACATTCTTCATTTCTTACCCAGTTTCAATCTGCCAGCTGCCCTTTACACTGTGTGTAAATTTCATGATTTCATGATGAAATAATATTAAAAATAACGTATATTTTGTCTTCTCCTGTTAAGTTTCCATTTCGGAAGTATGAGGTTTTGTTCCAGCTGTGACAATCTGTAATTAAACATCTGTATCATCATCAGTTTGTACTGTAATTACACAAGTGTGTCTTGACAGTTGTACCAGTCTATATTGTCTTATGTTATTACATGTGTGTAACATGGTAAACTGCAGATTTTCTTGTTGAAACCATGTAATTACTGCATTATAATACTCTTCAATATGCCTGTGTGTAATTACATGAGCTGCACTATGTAATCCATCTGTAACAGTGAACGCATCACCAGTAGTTACACTGATGTTACATGTACTGATAATGTGTAACTACACAGTTACTAGAGACACTTAAAATAAACTGGGACCGAATTTCCTCTGGGGCCTAAAACATTTGCACAGTGCGGTACACATACTTATTATAAGTTTGTATGCAACACTCTTAAAAAGTATGGTTCTTCAAGAGTTCTTTAGTAAAGACACTGGTTCTATATAGAACCCTGAACCCTCAAAGAACCATTTGCATGATTAACCCCTTAAAATCTCAGGTTTATTACTTACTAAGGTTTATTATTCAGTAACTACAGGGGCTTCAGTGCAAACTGGCTGAGCTGTTCTTAGATTACAGAAGTGTGTAATGAAACTTTGGGCCATTTTAAGGGGTTAAAGGTTCTTTGAAATGGTTCTTCAGATTGGCGGAGAATGTGCTGTATGTGGTTCTATATAGCACATTTTTGAAGATGGTTTTATGTAGGATCACAAAGGGTTGTACTGGTATTATGATGTCGAGCTTGTATACAATTTTAGCTGGTTTTAACGGTTTAAATTTAATTCATGTAATTCTTTATATTATCTCATTAAGTACAGTACTGATGTTTTAAAAGTTTTAGGTGTTTTAAAGGTTTAAAGGGTTCTGCTATTGTCAGGGTTCTGTGTTGTATATGGTTCTATATAGCACCTTTTTCAAAATGGTTTCTATATAGGACCAAAAAGCATTCTGCTCTTGTGTACAAGCTTGATATTGTAACAATAGCAGAACCCTTTTTGGTTCTATACAGAACCATTTTCAAATTTATCTGGAGAACAATTTCACCATGCAAAGAACAATTTAAGCATGAAAATGATTATTTGAGTGTTCACGATTCTATATAGAACCACTGCCTTTACTAAAGAACCCTTAAAGAACCATCTTTTTCTAAGGGTGTGGCTGTCTAGCTGGATTAGAAAGTCCATGTCCGATTTCACTGACCTGGTGACAGTAATGGTGATGATGGTCATTGGTTATTGATCCTAATGGTAACTGTATTATTACAGTGTGACTGAATATTGGAGTGATTTTGATTAAACCCTTAAATTCACAGGTTTATTACATCATAACTCTTATGATTCAGTAACTGCACAGTCTGTAACATAAACTGAGTCGTTATTTAGCTGCAGCAGTGATGAATGGAGGTCTGAACTCAGGCTGGCTGAACTGAAGGCCTGTCCCTCTGAGCCGCCTGCAGGAACAGCAGTGATTAAAGTCTAATACACTCCTAATTAATTAATCACCCTCAGTCGATCTGTTTACTCATTCTAACGTCGGTCACTCCCCCCGTGCTGAAGGGATGCCCCGTTCTTCACTGTGGAGAGTCTTATCCAGGCCCAGAGTGTGTTACGTAACCGCTAATCTGTCCCGAGAGGTGGACTCAGCTGACCCTCTGATAGCCTCAGTTAGGGTCACTGACCCACAAATCAGCTCAGCTCCTCACACTAATCTGACTGTAGCTTTTCTGACTCATAGTTCATTGAAGAAAAGTGGAGAATCTACTGTGGTGAATCTGCAGCCACGCTACAGTAATAACCGACTCTAAATGTAGGTATTGTGATATAAACTGAGTCTGTTCTACAGTTTCTCGTTAGGCTGAATGAATAACTGACTCTAAATGTAGGTATTGTGATATAAACTGAGTCTGTTCTACAGTTTCTCGTTAGGCTGAATGAATAACCGACTCTAAATGTAGGTATTGTGATAGAAACTGAGTCTGTTCTACAGTTTCTCGTTAGGCTGAATGAATAACCGACTCTAAATGTAGGTATTGTGATATAAACTGAGTCTGTTCTACAGTTTCTCATTAGGCTGAATGAATAACCAACTCTAAATGTAGGTATTGTGATATAAACTGAGTCTGTTCTACAGTTTCTCATTAGGCTGAATGAATAACCGACTCTAAATGTAGGTATTGTGATATAAACTGAGTCTGTTCTGCAGTTTCTCATTAGGCTGAATGAATACCGACTCTAAATGTAGGTATTGTGATATAAACTGAGTCTGTTCTACAGTTTCTCATTAGGCTGAATGAATAACCGACTCTAAATGTAGGTATTGTGATATAAACTGAGTCTGTTCTACAGTTTCTCATTAGGCTGAATGAATAACCGACTCTAATGTAGGTATTGTGATATAAACTGAGTCTGTTCTACAGTTTCTCGTTAGGCTGAATGAATAACCGACTCTAAATGTAGGTATTGTGATATAAACTGAGTCTGTTCTACAGTTTCTCGTTAGGCTGAATGAATAACCGACTCTAAATGTAGGTATTGTGATATAAACTGAGTCTGTTCTACAGTTTCTCGTTAGGCTGAATGAATAACCGACTCTAAATGTAGGTATTGTGATATAAACTGAGTCTGTTCTACAGTTTCTCGTTAGGCTGAATGAATAACCGACTCTAAATGTAGGTATTGTGATATAAACTGAGTCTGTTCTACAGTTTCTCGTTAGGCTGAATGAATAACCGACTCTAAATGTAGGTATTGTGATATAAACTGAGTCTGTTCTACAGTTTCTCGTTAGGCTGAATGAATAACCGACTCTAAATGTAGGTATTGTGATATAAACTGAGTCTGTTCTACAGTTTCTCATTAGGCTGAATGAATAACCGACTCTAAATGTAGGTATTGTGATATAAACTGAGTCTGTTCTACAGTTTCTCATTAGGCTGAATGAATAACCGACTCTAAATGTAGGTATTGTGATATAAACTGAGTCTGTTCTGCAGTTTCTCATTAGGCTGAATGAATAACCGACTCTAAATGTAGGTATTGTGATATAAACTGAGTCTGTTCTACAGTTTCTCATTAGGCTGAATGAATAACCGACTCTAAATGTAGGTATTGTGATATAAACTGAGTCTGTTCTACAGTTTCTCATTAGGCTGAATGAATAACCGACTCTAAATGTAGGTATTGTGATATAAACTGAGTCTGTTCTACAGTTTCTCATTAGGCTGAATGAATAACTGACTCTAAATGTAGGTATTGTGATATAAACTGAGTCTGTTCTACAGTTTCTCATTAGGCTGAATGAATAACCGACTCTAAATGTAGGTATTGTGATATAAACTGAGTCTGTTCTACAGTTTCTCATTAGGCTGAATGAATAACTGACTCTAAATGTAGGTATTGTGATATAAACTGAGTCTGTTCTACAGTTTCTCATTAGGCTGAATGAATAACCGACTCTAAATGTAGGTATTGTGATATAAACTGAGTCTGTTCTACAGTTTCTCATTAGGCTGAATGAATAACCGACTCTAAATGTAGGTATTGTGATATAAACTGAGTCTGTTCTACAGTTTCTCATTAGGCTGAATGAATAACCGACTCTAAATGTAGGTATTGTGATATAAACTGAGTCTGTTCTACAGTTTCTCATTAGGCTGAATGAATAACCGACTCTAAATGTAGGTATTGTGATATAAACTGAGTCTGTTCTACAGTTTCTCATTAGGCTGAATGAATAACTGACTCTAAATGTAGGTATTGTGATATAAACTGAGACTCACTCTTTGAGCTCCTGCTGTGTTTTCTCCTCTGAGTCCTGTAGGCCACACTGATCTTGTCTGGAGGTCTCCAGAATCTTCTTGTTCTGCTGCTGCATCTCCTGCACAACAAACACACATGAAGTATCAGCACAGCAGGGCTAAGAGACGCAAACAGGGTGGGAAATAATGCAGGTTCTAAAAGGCACAGACTTTTTATACATGATAGCAGACCTTTTGCAAATTACACAAAATAATAATTAACCTAAACTCATTAATCTCTATATCAGAAACATAAACATTGATTGGTTCTCTGAGCTCTAAATCTGTTCAACAGCACAAAAGAAAATCCAAATAAAAGAGATTAAAAGTGTGAAATGTATATGTAATAAAAAACAGGTTACATGATCATCCAAGATGCATCTACACTCTGAAAAAAGATGGTTCTCCAAGGGTTTTAGTGAAGACAATGGTTCTACATAGAACTATAAACACTCAAAGAACCCTTTGCATGCTTAGATGGTTCTCTAATGGTGAAATGGTTCTTCAGATTGATGTAAAATGTGTTGAATATAGGACCTTTTTGAAAATGGTTCCATACAGCACCAAAAAGGGTTCTGCTGTTGTGTACAAGCTTGGCATTGTAACAATAGTAGAACCCTTTTTGGTGCTGTATAGAATCATTTAAAGCACACTCCATCAGTAAAAAACCATTTCACCATGCGTGGAACCATATCAGCACACAAAGCGTTCTTCGAGTGTTCATGGTTCTATGTAGAAGCACTGTCTTTACTAAAGAACCCTTGAAGAACCATCTTTTTTAAGAGTGTATACAAAACTTCATCACTTTAGACCCCAGAAGACCCTGTGTGGTGGGCAGGTCTGGTGGGTTTCAATCAGATGTCTGTAAATAAGTTGTATTTGTGGTCTGTATGACTGTCTTACCTGCCGTATCTCTGCACAGCTGTCGTACAGATCATCATCACACTGTTCTGTTGTTTCCTGTGACTGAAATCAACATCACAGTCAATTACAGCTCCTCAAAAACGTGCAGAAAGACATATTTAACCAGAAATGAAAATACTCAGTTTCACCTCCATACACTCTCAGAAATAAAGGTACTAAACTGTCTCTGGGTCAGTTCCCCTCTTGTCACTGGGGTGGAACCCTCAAGGCTCCATCTCAGTACCTTTAGTCAGGGAACATAACTGAACCATAATCCACTGAAATGATATGTTCTAAGCTGTACTGACTCCACACACCCCGTCTCGTCTCCAGGACTTTATTTTACTGTTCTGTTTAAAACATTCAGTTATGAAAAGGTACAAATACGAACTTTTCACCTGGAAACACTTATTTAAGGTTCACAATCAGACCTTAAAACCACTGTTGGAGCTTTGAGGGAACATTTACACTGTTTGTACCTTGATGAACAAAAATGTACCTGAACAGAACCTTTATTAATAACAGTGTATGAAGTACATAAACTTTAAACATAAATACAGTATATCGCTGCTGTCAGACTGAAACCTTGTATCTCCATTTTTGTCGTTTTCAGTGTTCAATTTTAAAAACGCCTGTTTTCCTTTACATTGTGTGTAAATTTCATGATGAATGCACCAAAAGAAACAACCTAAAACTACTTGGAAAAAAGTCTGGTTCCATTAACTTACATTAAAAGTAAAGCATGTTCATCTCCTGTAAAGTTACCAATTTGGAAATATGAGGTTTCATTCCCGAGTGCAGCGGTGTTGCGTGTTGTTAGTCATGAGCTTCACACATACAAAAAATATTAGTGCCATTTTAAGATTAATACCACCTTTATTAGGGAAATAAGCATGCATGTTTGATAAAGTGCTTTATACGTCGGCTATTATTCTCTTAAACTCGTCTCATTATGAATGAATTTACAGCCTGTTGGAATGAAACTTGTTACATACTAGAAATTCATCTTAACTCTTACTGCTTTTGTGTTTATTTGTATTTATTCTAATGTTTTGTGGTGATTTTATAAGCAGAAACACATTCACTGTCCAGATAAACAGTTTTAAATAATTAAATAAAGTGCCGGTCTAAGACTGATGTGTAGTAGTTCTTAATTGAATAGGACTTTAGACTGAATCCTTTTGCTACTTTTTTAATGTATTTATGTTTATTTGAATTTATTGTAATTATACACCCTGATTTGCTGATTTTGATAAATAATATTAAGCAGTGTGCAAGGAATGTGCACCACAATGGTAACTTTACAGGAGAAGGAAAAACATACTCTACTTTTAATGTAAGTCAATGGAACCAGACTTGCTTCCAAGTCATTTTGGGTCGTTTCTTTTGGTCCATTCATCACAAAATTTACACACAATGTAAAACTATTACCTGTTTGATTGGAGGTGGGAAATATGGCAAATTGTCATATCATGATACTTAAAGAAGTTTTTTACGACACATGATGAGTCACTATATTATTTTTCTGACACCTGATAAGTTACAACACACAAAGTAAATGAATATAATTATTTGTTCTCATCGTTTTACACACTGTATCTAACTGAACAGAACTAATGACGCTCTCTTTTTCATCAAACACACAGTTGGGCAGTGTTGTTTAAGTACTGTTATCTACCACACACTCAGAAAAGCGTATTGTGATGTAATTTATCACGATAAAGATAAATACGGTCATACTGTCCAGCTGTAACTGAAGCTCAGTCATGTTAGCTCCAGCCTGTTTCACAGTGAGGTGAGGACGGGCTCAGAGTCACTGATCTGGATCAGAGCAGGAACAGGCTGCTGATTAACTGAGGAGCTGGATGAGGTGCGTTCGAGCAGGTTCAGCTCAGCAGGTCAGACTGCTGCTCCGAACAGGTGATGGGTTTAAGTGAGGCGTGCTGGCGTACCTGTGTGCGGCGTGAGACGGGGAGGGTCAGTGTAACGTCCAGCGTGGGGTTATAGTGGGCCAGCGTGTGCTGCTGGTGATGGGCGATGAGGTCAGGAACGGAGCTGAAGGTCATCGGCTCACAGAAACCGAACAGTCCGTCACGCTGGAGGATCCGAACCAGCCTGGTGCAGTTATCCTTCCTGAGAGGAACAGGAGGAGTTCAGCCCACTGAGAAACACACAGCAAACACTGAGGGCCCCAAATAAGGAGGGGGTTCTGTCCACCTCTTTATCTGCATTAAAAAACCTGGACGGAGAAGCCAGAAGTTATAAACACCAACTAGGGCGCAACCTTCTAAGCATTGGCTCTGTTATCGGGACACTGTGAGCTCCCAGTGCTGCCACAGCCATCCGTAAGTAAGAGTCCAAGTCAGCAAAATAGTCCTCTCTCTCTCTCTGGGTGGATAGGATGGTCCCCCCCCACCCCACTGTCAACCGGCGTGATGTTAGCCAGCGTGGGTGTATGTTAGCTGATGTAACAGAATTAGCAGTTAGCGTTCTCACGCTAGGAGGCTCGTGTTAGGCTAAACCCTCCCAGCTTGGCAGCATCAGTTTACTGGCTGAAAAGTCTTTTTGTGACGTACTTTTGAAAGTTGGACTTTTCCATAAAATCTCTTACACAGATGGTCTCACTTTGAGCTCCGAGCGTAAAGAAAGACCGTCTCTGTTAGTGCGAAGCAGCGCTCAGACAGCCTCTGCTTGGCATGAGTGTGAGGCCTGAAGCTGAACCAGAAGCAGAAACCAAAATAAAAGCTTCAGAGTGAAGCCTGACTGATAAGGCTTACATGCCTTAAAACAGTTTACACATCAAATACTATTAAAATATGACATATAAACCAAGTGGGAATGTTTAGCTTATTTATATAAAATATGCCAAATCAGTGAAATTCCTCTACTACTAGGCCACCATTGTCATACTGTGGTAATGTCATATGTTTGCACTGTACCCAGTTCTTTGAAATCTAAGGCAATCAAAAACGTTTTTCTCTTGAGTGATGTCACGCTTCAGTGATGTCACGCTTCAGTGATGTCACGCTGTAGCTAAAGCAGGAAGGACTGAATGATATACTGAGTTAAATGAGATATTTAGCTCACCGTTCCTTACTCAGTGGATGAGAAAGAGAGAGAGAGCAACCAGCAACAACGATGGCAGCATATTAGTCCAAGGATTTTGTTACATTTTAATAATAGATACAATGTTTGACTTTGTTTATACAATACATTTGATTGGTGTTAATAGGGCCCTGTGTTCCACCTAAAACACAGATATGTTTTAATTAATGGCCGTTATCCAGTGAAACACTAGCTAAACATTCATGCTGTGTACACATTTCCCAGTTAGTCTGCCTGGCTTGAACCAATTGCCCAAACACAAGCTGGACAGCTGCAGAGGGTAAAAAACTCTCCCGTGAATTATATTATTATCAAAGCGACTGATTTGATGATTTATCCACTCAGTAAAAGGGCGCCTGTAGCAACTGCTTGCTGTGGCACTTCAGAGCGCAAGTGCTGTGTGAATGACCACCATGAGTGATCAAACTCCGCTACCTCTGACTTCTATCAGCATCACATGATTACTGTGTTTCTACATTGTAAAACAGTGTGCTGGACAAACCTGTTAATTTACTGTAAAAATATGTTGCTCAGTGATTACAGTCATTTAATTACTTAGAAATCTGTCCCAATGACTGCTGGGATAGCACCCATCGCCCACCCCCCGCGACCCAGAAGGATAAGTGGTTTAGAAAGTGTGAGTGTGTGTGTGTTCTGACATACAGTATTTTAACATAATAAGTTACAGTCATTCAATCAAAGGGGAGGAGTTTGAAGGTAAAGCAGTGCATTGTGGGTACCTGAGTGTTAGTGTATATTGTCCTGGGACTCTGTTGGAGGCGTCCCGCACCAGAAACGCTCCGTCAGGTAAACCGCTCAGCTTCTCACTGGCCTCCTCCCTGACGGACAGACACCGGACATTAAAACAGCAGCGGAGAGGAACATTCACACCGCAGGACATTCAGCACAGCTGAGTCAGAGACCACCGCAATTATTTAACAGCAGCATCAGAAAAGTGTTAAACCAACATCTAAGACCGAACTGTGGAGGTAAAGAAGGAAAGGAATAGAAGCTCTAATTGCTCCCTGTAATTTGTGTTACGTTTTGTTATTTTTCTTGAAGCTGAAAATAAATAACTTGGCCTTGATTGGACTTTAGACTGGAAATGAAATGAATGAAAGAGGGTCTCTGACTTTTGCACAGTACTATAAACAAAATAACTAATTTACTAAAATGTAAATAATAAAAAATATATTAAAGTAGTATTTAAATATTCCTAAAGTTTAAAAATCTAGCGCTCATTTTCCAGGCCATTACAGATCATATATGGAAACTAAACTGCACAAACAGCCTGTTTAAAATGGATTATATACATTGACTTGACTGGAAAAGGCTGAATGGGTGGGGCTAAACTGCTATAGGCTGAATGGGCGGGGCTCTTTAAGTCCACACTCTACTCACTGTTGCTGCACACAGGAACAAACCTGTGTGTTCTGCTTTATTAAACTGCCCTGTTTGTCACCTTTTCAATAAAAACAGTTTTGTGATTATTTTCATAAAGTTAGCGCTGCTTCTGAGCGTTTGGCCTGAAGTGAACACTGTGACGGAAAATAAAGCTGGAACGGCCCCCAAAGGCCTTCCAGTGAAAGCATAACAGTGGAAACTCAGAGGTGCGAGTGAGCGTGAAGGACACTGTTCAATCAAACAAAGGCACAGAATGTAAATGAGTGGAACCGTCTGTCACACCAGGGCAACATTATATGTTGTCTTTGTGGTGCTGTGGAGTTTTTACCTGGATATGTCGCCCCAGTACCACTCAGTGTCCTGCAGAGTCGGGGTCGGCGGTGTTTCCTTCGCTGCCGGCTGGTCAGAGGCTGAGTTTTCTGAAAATAGAACAGGATGTTGGAAAATAAACCAAAACAGAAAGTCAGTTTACAGTCTCTAAAATCGAACGTGGCGTTAATGATGGTCAGTGTTTATACACTCGATATGATGGACCAGTTACATAACACAAACAGCCGGTCAACTGCTGGACTGTTGCTACTAAAAACAATAGCTGACCAACACGCACGGCTTCAGCCGAACATTTTCTAACGAAGAGTCAGACCAAATGACGTATTCTCCATCACTGCTGATCTCAAGGTTAAGATAAGGAGATAAATCGGTGGAAGTTGTTGGAAGACCTCACTGCTAGTCCTGCTCCCGTCCACCTCAGGAAGGGCTTGTTAATGAGCTACTGAGTTGGGTCAGGTGTTTTCTGGAACAGGACAAACGGAAAATAGACAGAAATAGAACTGTAACACAGGCTAACTGGTAAAATCCATCTGAAGTAAAGCTCCACCACTGATATATGAAACAGTGGCCTACATATATTTCCATAGTGATGCTCCACTCGTTTCCATGGTTACGCTACTCCCATATCCAAAACATACTGCCTTGGTTACACTACATCAATTTCCAGTGTTACACTGTGTCTATTTCCATGGTTACATTACCCAAATTTCCATGGTAACGCTACCACCCAATTCAATGGTTACATGACTACACATTTTTCCATGATTATCCTAAACTAATTTCTATTGTTACGCTATAGCCATTTCTATGGTTACACTACCTCCATTTCCATGGCAACACTACATCCATGTCAATGGATTTGCATGGTTTCCTTGGGTCATCGGTTTTGCTTTGCCTTTCTGGCAGCATTTGAGCAGTTCTGAGAGTTTTCTTCCAGATCTTGGCTCGACTTGCACAGTTCCCCTTAACTGCCATGTCTTAATGACCCTTTGGACAGTGGAAATGGCCTTTATATCTTTTTATAGCCTTCCCTGCTTTGTACACATCAATTAGCTTCATTTTCAGACCAGCTAGAAAAACCAGCACAGACCAGCACGGCAGGTCACCAGTAAAACCAGCACATGCTGTGTTTGAATGCTGGTATGCTGGTCAACCAACATGAACATGCCTGGTGACCAGCTAAACCAACCAGCATTGAATTCATGCTGGTCTGTGGTGTTTTGTTCAGCAGGATCTTTAGCCAGCTGCCTGGAGGAGCCCCTGCTTTCATCTTCGGTTTAGCCAAAGACCTTATAGGAAAGTCTGTCCATCTGGTGCACATCTTGGCAACAAGACCAGAGTCCTGTTCTATTTAAATGGGCAGAAACTTAAACACTCAAAACTGAAGGCTGAATTATTTTTTCAAAAACATAGCTGAGCTCTCTGGTAAAGTCTTATAAAAATCTTATAAATAGTTTGTAGCGTTTGGCTGAAATAATGCACAAAAAAATGTGGTTTTTCGGTTGTTCTGGATCCTGAGCTTGGGCAGATCTTTACAACTGATGGGGCTCTTACCACTCGCAGCCTAACCAGCAAGCCAACTGGCTCTTTTTAAGAATGGTGGGAATTTCCTTCTTTATAACGTCTCTGGTTTAGCTGGTTTATTGCAGGGAGCCAAGTTCATATTCCACTGTGAACTCAGTGGTCCAAGTTCAGTTTCATCTTGAGTGAAATAACATCAAGATCAAGTTATTTCAATGTTTTATACTACATTTGTTTAGATTTGCAGTCATTCACATTTCACAGCATTCAGCTAAAGTGATTAGCTGGCCTGCTAACTCTGTCTCCCTCTCTCAGCTCCACAGCAGCTAAAGGCTAAATGAGTGGCTGATCTCATTCAGCTTCTTCACCTGAACGTCCTTTAACAGTGAAAACTACAGCCGAACCAATGAACTGTTTACCAATTTGCTATATTTCACTACCCTCCTAGAAAAGACACATAGAATGAGACGCATATATTGTATATAAGGTGAATGCTCTTTTATTGAACAGACAGCAAAGGAGAACCGCCACTCAGCGCTGCTGAAACGGTCCAGATAGCGGGCAGGTCACCTCAGTCATACATTTTAGCTTGACAGTCAACACTAACACTGCACCAGCTACCCCATCACCCAGCACCGAATAGCACAATTAACACACATGCACGTCATCAAGCGAACAACAGCTTATTTAAAATGAAAATCTCTCTTACATTGATCCTCTGCGCATGGCCACGCCCCCCAGGCTTCCACAGTAGTGCAAGCGAAATAGCGTGATGTCATGATATGTTGTGTTTTGGATGCTGGTTTGCAGGTCAGCAGCAATGGAAGTGAATAAGCTGGTCACCAGCAGAACCAGCATATGTTGTGTTTTGGATGCTGGTGTGCATGACCATGTTGGATGACCATCTAAACCAGAACCAGCAAAAACCAGCATGGGATTCATGTCTGTGGTGTTTTTTTTAGCAGAGTAACTTCTTTCTTCAGTCTTTCAAAGAAAGGTGGACCCTGTGAAATTGGGGGAGTGTAGCTGTGTTCGGTTCCCAATATCACATTTCACCACTAAGTCAATTTTTCTCCTGGTTTCATGAACAAAAACATCTCTTAAAACAGCGATAAATAAGCCTCTAACTGAGAAAACGGTCAGGAATCCACAGGAGTGTCCGAGACCTCAGGTTTAAAGGGTTAACAAGAGGAGGAGCTTCTGAATACTGAATAAGGAAACCAATACCAACATCATGAACAAATACTTGAGTATTTGAAAAATATTTGGGCCAGCTTTGAATTTTGGATATAAAATTTTTAAAATCAGCAAATTAGCACGTCCATTTGACACCAATCTGGTGAAATGACTCGTGAACTGTCCAATCTGGAGAGCTGAGGGACTTCCTTAGATTACACTCAGTCTCACTGACCTCATTGAACCCTCAGCAGGAGAGACCAGGACTGGGAAGTGTGTGTGTGTGTGTGTGTGTGTGTGTGTGTGTGTGTGTGGTGTGTGTGTGTGTGTATGTGTGTGTGTGTTTTGGCGGTGGGGGTGGGGTGGGGGGGTAACCACGCGAGTGTGTGTGTGGAACATGTTGAGACATGCAGGTTCTCTGAAAGACAAGTGCAGCGGTTTGAGGAAAAGCTTCACCATCACAGTCCACTATTTTACTTCTAAACAGTCTCAGGAAAAGAACACGGAAGGCTTTTCTCACCAGTTTCCACTTTAAATAATTCACCACCCTCAACAGCTACGACTCACAGCTAACACAGACAATGCTAATGTGAAGCTAACTCAGCACTAACACCACTGATAGTAATACTGCACTACATAGGTTTATAGCAGTGCTGCAGATGTGTAGTGTTAGTAATGCTGTGAATGTGTAGTGTTAATGATGTAAATGTGTAGTGTTAGTAATGCTGTAAATGTGTAGTGTAATGCTGTAAATGTGTAGTGTTAATACTGTAAATGTGTAGTGTTAATACTGTAAATGTGTAGTGTTAGTAAGGCTGTAAATGTGTAGTGTTAATACTGTAAATGTGTAGTGTTAATACTGTAAATGTGTAGTGTTAATACTGTAAATGTGTAGTGTTAGTAAGGCTGTAAATGTGTAGTGTAATGCTGTAAATGTGTAGTGTTAATGCTGTAAATGTGTAGTGTTAGTAATGCTGTGAATGTGTAGTGTTAGTAATGCTGTGAATGTGTAGTGTTAGTAATGCTGTAAATGTGTAGTGTTAGTAATGCTGTAAATGTGTAGTGTAATGCTGTGAATGTGTAGTGTTAGTAATGCTGTAAATGTGTAGTGTTAGTAATGCTGTGAATGTGTAGTGTTAGTAATGCTGTAAATGTGTAGTGTTAGTAATGCTGTGAATGTGTAGTGTTAGTAATGCTGTAAATGTGTAGTGTTAGTAATGCTGTGAATGTGTAGTGTTAGTAATGCTGTAAATGTGTAGTGTAATGCTGTGAATGTGTAGTGTTAGTAAGGCTGTAAATGTGTAGTGTAATGCTGTAAATGTGTAGTGTTAATGCTGTAAATGTGTAGTGTTAGTAAGGCTGTAAATGTGTAGTGTAATGCTGTAAATATGTAGTGTTAGTAATGCTGTAAATGTGTAGTGTTAGTAATGCTGTGAATGTGTAGTGTTAGTAATGCTGTATATGTGTAGTGTTAGTAATGCTGTGAATGTGTAGTGTTAGTAATGCTGTAAATGTGTAGTGTAATGCTGTAAATGTGTAGTGTTAATGCTGTAAATGTGTAGTGTTAGTAATGCTGTAAATGTGTAGTGTTAGTAATGCTGTATATGTGTAGTGTTAGTAATGCTGTGAATGTGTAGTGTTAGTAATGCTGTAAATGTGTAGTGTAATGCTGTAAATGTGTAGTGTTAATGCTGTAAATGTGTAGTGTTAGTAAGGCTGTAAATGTGTAGTGTAATGCTGTAAATGTGTAGTGTTAATGCTGTAAATGTGTAGTGTAAGGCTGTAAATGTGTAGTGTAATGCTGTAAATGTGTAGTGTTAGTAATGCTGTGAATGTGTAGTGTTAGTAATGCTGTAAATGTGTAGTGTTAGTAATGCTGTAAATGTGTAGTGTTAGTAATGCTGTAAATGTGTAGTGTTAATGCTGTAAATGTGTAGTGTTAGTAATGCTGTAAATGTGTAGTGTTAGTAAGGCTGTAAATGTGTAGTGTTAATGCTGTGAATGTGTAGTGTTAGTAATGCTGTGAATGTGTAGTGTTAGTAATGCTGTAAATGTGTAGTGTTAGTAATGCTGTGAATGTGTAGTGTTAGTAATGCTGTAAATGTGTAGTGTTAATACTGTAAATGTGTAGTGTTAGTAATGCTGTAAATGTGTAGTGTTAATGCTGTAAATGTGTAGTGTTAGTAAGGCTGTAAATGTGTAGTGTTAGTAATGCTGTAAATGTGTAGTGTTAGTAATGCTGTAAATGTGTAGTGTTAGTAATGCTGTAAATGTGTAGTGTTAGTAATGCTGTAAATGTGTAGTGTTAATGCTGTAAATGTGTAGTGTTAGTAAGGCTGTAAATGTGTAGTGTTAGTAATGCTGTAAATGTGTAGTGTTAGTAAGGCTGTAAATGTGTAGTGTAATGCTGTAAATGTGTAGTGTTAGTAAGGCTGTAAATGTGTAGTGTTAGTAAGGCTGTAAATGTGTAGTGTAATGCTGTAAATGTGTAGTGTTAGTAATGCTGTAAATGTGTAGTGTTAGTAATGCTGTAAATGTGTAGTGTTAGTAATGCTGTAAATGTGTAGTGTAATGCTGTAAATGTGTAGTGTTAGTAATGCTGTAAATGTGTAGTGTTAATGATGTAAATGTGTAGTGTTAGTAATGCTGTAAATGTGTAGTGTTAGTAATGCTGTAAATGTGTAGTGTTAGTAATGCTGTAAATGTGTAGTGTTAATGATGTAAATGTGTAGTGTTAGTAAGCTGTAATGTGTAGTGTTAGTAATGCTGTAAATGTGTAGTGTAGTAATGCTGTAAATGTGTAGTGTTAGTAATGCTGTAAATGTGTAGTGTTAGTAATGCTGTAAATGTGTAGTGTTAGTAATGCTGTAAATGTGTAGTGTTAGTAATGCTGTAAATGTGTAGTGTTAGTAAAGCTGTAAATGTGTAGTGTTAATGCTGTAAATGTGTAGTGTTAATGCTGTAAATGTGTAGTGTTAGTAATGCTGTAAATGTGTAGTGTTAGTAATGCTGTAAATGTGTAGTGTTAGTAATGCTGTAAATGTGTAGTGTTAGTAATGCTGTAAATGTGTAGTGTTAGTAATGCTGTAAATGTGTAGTGTTAGTAATGCTGTAAATGTGTAGTGTTAATGCTGTAAATGTGTAGTGTTAGTAATGCTGTAAATGTGTAGTGTTAGTAATGCTGTAAATGTGTAGTGTTAATGCTGTAAATGTGTAGTGTTAGTAATGCTGTAAATGTGTAGTGTTAGTAATGCTGTAAATGTGTAGTGTTAGTAATGCTGTAAATGTGTAGTGTTAGTAATGCTGTAATGTGTAGTGTTAATGCTGTAAATGTGTAGTGTTAATGCTGTAAATGTGTAGTGTTAATGCTGTAAATGTGTAGTGTTAGTAATGCTGTAAATGTGTAGTGTTAGTAAGGCTGTAAATGTGTAGTGTTAGTAATGCTGTGAATGTGTAGTGTTAATGCTGTAAATGTGTAGTGTTAATGCTGTAAATGTGTAGTGTTAGTAATGCTGTAAATGTGTAGTGTTAGTAAGGCTGTAAATGTGTAGTGTTAGTAATGCTGTAAATGTGTAGTGTTAGTAATGCTGTAATGTGTAGTGTTAGTAATGCTGTAATGTGTAGTGTAATGCTGTAAATGTGTAGTGTTAGTAATGCTGTAAATGTGTAGTGTTAGTAATGCTGTAAATGTGTAGTGTTAATGCTGTAAATGTGTAGTGTTAATGCTGTAAATGTGTAGTGTTAATGCTGTAAATGTGTAGTGTTAGTAATGCTGTAAATGTGTAGTGTTAGTAATGCTGTAAATGTGTAGTGTTAATGCTGTAAATGTGTAGTGTTAATGCTGTAAATGTGTAGTGTTAGTAATGCTGTAAATGTGTAGTGTTAGTAATGCTGTAAATGTGTAGTGTTAGTAATGCTGTGAAATGTGTAGTGTTAATACTGTAAATGTGTAGTGTTAATGCTGTAAATGTGTAGTGTTAATGCTGTAAATGTGTAGTGTTAGTAATGCTGTAAATGTGTAGTGTTAGTAATGCTGTAAATGTGTAGTGTTAATGCTGTAAATGTGTAGTGTTAGTAATGCTGTAAATGTGTAGTGTTAGTAATGCTGTAAATGTGTAGTGTTAGTAATGCTGTAAATGTGTAGTGTTAATGCTGTAAATGTGTAGTGTTAGTAATGCTGTAAATGTGTAGTGTTAGTAATGCTGTAAATGTGTAGTGTTAATGCTGTAAATGTGTAGTGTAATGCTGTAAATGTGTAGTGTTAGTAATGCTGTAAATGTGTAGTGTTAATGCTGTAAATATGTAGTGTAGTAATGCTGTATATGTGTAGTGTTAGTAATGCTGTAAATGTGTAGTGTTAGTAATGCTGTAAATGTGTAGTGTTAGTAATGCTGTAAATATGTAGTGTTAGTAATGCTGTAAATGTGTAGTGTTAATGCTGTAAATGTGTAGTGTTAGTAATGCTGTAAATGTGTAGTGTTAGTAATGCTGTAAATGTGTAGTGTTAATGCTGTAAAAATATATTGTCAGTAATGAGGTGTGTAGTTAATGTGTAGTTAATGCTAATACTGTACAATTGAAGGTCATGTTAATAATATTATAAATGAATGTTAATATTAGTAATGTTGTAAATTTGTAATTCATATTGGCAATGTTGTAGATGTATAGTAAATATTAGTACTGTTAGTACTACTAGTAAATGGTTCTATTTAGCACCAAAAATGGTCCTTCTGTTGTGCATGATGTGAAACTTGTAACTATAGAAGAACTCTTTCTGGTGCTATGTTGAACCATTTTCCAAAAGGTTCTATATAGAACCATGTACTCCATCCATCTGAACAATGATATCCCCATGCAGAGAACCAATTAAGCATGCAGATGGTTCTTTATGTGTTCATGGTCCTATATAGAGGCATTGTCTTAACTAAAGAAGCCTTGAAGAACCATCACTTTTATGAGTGTAGTTAACGTTAGTAACAATGTAAATGTGTAGTTAGTGTTAGTAATGTTATAAATGTGTAGTTAGTGTTAGTAATGTTATAAATGTGTAGTTAGTGTTAGTAATGTTATAAATGTGTAGTTAGTGTTAGTAATGTTATAAATGTGCAATTATAGTATCAATTATATTGTAAATGTGTAGGTACAGTGTAATACAGTAATGTTGTAAATGTGTAGATAATGTTAACTTTACAAATGTATCGTTAATTATATTAATGCTGTAATGCTGTAAATGTGTAGTTATAGTGTTATTAACTTTTTAAATGTGTGGTTAAAGATATTAACACTGTAATGCTGTAAATGTGTAGTTATAGTGTTATTAACTTTTTAAATGTGTGGTTAAAGATATTAACACTGTAATGCTGTAATTGTGCAGTTACAGTGTTATTAACTTTTTAAATGTGTGGTTAAAGATATTAACACTGTCATGCTGTAAATATGTAGTTATAGTGTTATTAATGTTTTAAATATGTAGTTAATGATATGAAGGTTGTAATGTATAAGCGTGTAGTCGTGGTTGTATCTTCTCTTACCTGTTCCAGCCCCGCCGGCTCCATTCATTTCAATGTAGAAGAAAAGCTCTGGAGCAGATCCCATTCTGACCCGTGTGTGTTTCCTTCACTAAAACCTAAATGACTCTCATTCACTCTCCAGCACACAGAGCTCCGCTACATCAACGCTGCAACTGCATGAAGAGGTTCAGACCTGCCTTCAGTCCAACTGCATAAACCTTCTCTCGGTGCGGATGATTCTGGTAGAAGTTCACATTCTCGGAGCTCCTGGAGCAGAATTTATTAGCTGTCAGCTCGGTTCAGTCCAGCTCTGAGTCAGGCAGACACTCAGCAGGGACTTTCTACACCACACTGGACCAAACCAACTCCAGCAGTGGGGGGGCACTGAGACTAAACCACTTCACTCACTGCTCTATCACAGCTGTCTGGAGTGTTTATACTCAAACACGCTGCTGTGGAGTGGTGTTACTGAACTGACTGTGTATACGAGGACGACTGTCGTCTGTGTGTGAGATTAATCATGGGCAGTAATGAACAGGAGCCCCCGCCCTCTAAAGAAGTCCTCAGTGGTTCAGTCCATCTCCGGTTCTGCATACTTTGTGCCTTTCTTTTCTGACCAACTGACTAAAAGTTCCTACTCATGTGAGAAATGTGAAAACTGCTCTTAGCTGGATTTGTAGCTGTTCTGCTGCACTGGGACAGCCCAGCTTTAGATAATGTGGAGAAAACGAGCTGATTTAGGTTCTGACTGCTTCATAGTTGTTAGTGCAGTGGCTGAGTTTGGGCCTGTGACTCTACTAACTCTGGCTGACTGTTTAAGGTTATATAATAGGGCACATCAAAGGAGCGGTTAGGAAATGATTTAGCATTTTACTGAAATCAAACTTTTATTTTATAGTGGATCATCCTGTCCAGCAGTAAAGAGACTGAGCAGTTTCTCCACAGATGCATGAAGGTTATTAAAAGTAGCATTTAATCAGAATGAGAATCTTTATTATATAAGCTGTCAGAAAAACATCTTTATCTCCATTTTTGCTGTTTTTCAGTTTTTGACACAATCTGAAAATGCCTGTTGTTCTTTACATTGTGTGTAAATTTTATGATGAATGGACCAAAAGAAACGGCTCAAAATGACTTGGAAAAAATTCTGGTTCCATGACTTACATTAGAAGTAAAGTAGTTTTTTCCTTCTCCTGTAAAGTTGTGATTTTGGAGATACGAGGTTTTGTTCCGACAACAGTGATATGTTATTGTTGTCTTAACAAAACCTTCTACCTCCATTTTTGTTGTTTTTTTTATTTATTTTTAACATAATTTCAAACTCTGCTGTAAAAATGTAACTAAAACTGAACTACTAAAGACTAGAAATGCTCCAAAATGACTTGGACTTAAATATTTTTACATTAAATTGCATTAAAAGTTGAGGAAATTAAAAGTTTTTTCCTTCTCTGGAAAATGTACCATTTTGCAGATCTGAGGTTGCAGCCCAATATATACAGTAAGGTTTGGTGTGAAGTGGTTGATTGTAGAGATGTCTTTACAGTGGTGGTGATAGGAACCAGGGGTTGCCATGACTACAACACAAATATAGACATTTTATTTACTATCCAGAACCACCAGTGAACCTACACGAGTCTTCTGAGTTTATATGAATGTTGATGATGAAAATAGTGGAAAATCAGAAATAATAAGTTTTCTTTGGGGACTATTTTGCCTCACAGCGCCCTGCATGTTACGTATCCCTCCACCATGAATGGAGTTTAGAGCCAAACTTATCTCAAAACTATCGTAAAACACATTTTAGACAAAAACCTTCTCAAACATCTTAAACAATGTCTCCCTGGTAACCGTATGACAGCACCCTAGCAACCACCTGGGCAAATTGCCTAAGCAGTGCAATCAGTCTGTGGTTTCTTCAGGGAATGCACTGTTCTAGATATCACAGTTATTGATATTACTATGTGAAAGGACAGTATTTGATAATGCAGGCCTCGGTAGCAGGTCACCGAAATGTTAGCATAAATGCTAACCGAAACATTCTAATATTTAGTGCAGTAGAGAATAGTTGTGTAACTGTCCAGCTGAGTTACTGTTTGAGCTCCTGTATGCGCTGCAGGCTGTTTGCACATTAATAAAGAACATTTTGGTCCCGTTTCACTTCATTTTAGCTCCTCCATTAACCCAGCGCTGTTCCAGTGCCTGAGCTTTACTGCCTTTTCCCACCAGCCCACACCCTCCGCTACTGCTAACAACCAGCACGCTCACACAGTCCACTCAGGACATCTGGGACACTCTGACCTTTAACCTTTAGCCTCTGCCACGGTCAGGCCACTACTAATGTGTACACAGACACTCCATTCATGGTGGAGGGATACATGCAGGGCGCTGTGAGGCAAAATAGTCCCCAAAGAAAACTTATTATTTCAGATTTTCCACTATTTTCCATCATCAACATTCCATATAAACTCAGAAGACTCGTGTAGGTTCACTGGTGGTTCTGGATAGTAAATAAAAGGTCTATATATGTGTTGTAGTCATGGCGACCCCTGGTTCCTATCACCACCACTGTAAAGACATCTGAACCATTTCACACCCAAACCACTCTGAACCTCTCTGATTACATCTCAATCACTCCTTTATGGAGATATGTGCCAAAGGTTTGGTGGAACTCCCCTTTAAAGTCTCAACTTGGTCCTGGCCCCCTTTACACTCAGTCTTCACTAGTCAAAGTCTTTAACATGTCCTGGACTCAGTAAAGGTGGTCTTGAACAGCCCCAGGTTATGGTGTGTGGAAATAAGCAGGTACCATTCAGGAACATTAATAATACACCAGTAAGCTGCAGTGTGGTTTACAGAGCTGAACTGAGCTGAAACAGAGTGATTTTGTCTGGAAACCTGCGTGTGCTTACGCTCCATTGATTAAAGCTCAAGGCTCTTTAATGAACTGACGACAGTGACCTTGAGCCAAAGCGCAAACGCTGCACACAGTTTACAGTTTCACTCATGCAAAATGCAAACAGGTTTATTTTCTTCATATATATATATATATATATGCAACCCCATTTCCAAAAAAGTTGGGCCACTGTACTGAATGTAAATAAAAATAGAATGCAATGTTGTTAAATGTTGAAACTGAGAAATTTATTATTTTTTTTAATATTTGCCCATTTTAAATTTGATGCCAACAACACGTTCCAAAAAAGTTGGGACGGGGGCCTGTTTACCACTGTGTTTCATCACCTCTTCTTTTAACAAAACTCTGTAAGTGTTTGGCAACTGAGGAGACACTGCTGTAGTTTAGAAAGTGAAATGTCTTCCCGTTCCCGTTCACTTCCCCTCAGTCCATTTTAAATGAGCTCAGGCCCAGAGAAGGTGGCGGTGTTTCTGGATCCTGTATATATTTGGTTTCTTCTTTGTGTTTTAGAGTTTTAACTTGCATTTGTGGATGTAGTTATGAACTGTTTTCACAGACAGTGTTTTTCATCAGTGTTTCCATGCAGTGATTTCCACTACAGAATCATGTCTGTTTTTAATGCAGTGCTGTCTGAGAGCCCAAAGATCACGGCCAGCTAATACTGGTTTTTGGCCTTGACCCTCACATACAGAGATTTCTCCAGATTCTCTGAATCTTTTAATGATATTTTGTACCGTAGATGATGAAAAGCTAAAGTTCTTTGCTATTTTATGTTGAGAAACGTTATTCTTGAATTGTTGCACTATTTGATGGTGCAGTCTTTCACAGAGTGGTGAACACCTCCTCATCTTTACTTCTGAAAGACTCCGCCTCTCTGAGATGCTCTTTTATACCCAGTCATGTTACTGTCCTGTTGCCAATCAACCACCAGGTGTTTTTTTAGCATTACACAACTTTAGCAGGCTTTTGTTGCCCCGTCCCAACTTTTTTGGAACGTGTTGTTGGTATCAAATATTTTTCAGGAACCAGAATTTTTTATACATTTATATATATTCATGATATATATTGTTGGGAGTGAACTTTACACAAAAAATAAATATCAGTTGTATATTTATATCCAGTGTGGACCAGAGGAGGATGGGTTCCCCTTTTGAGTCTTGGTTCCTCTCAGTGTTTCTTCCTCTTTGCTCTTAAGGAGTTTTTCCTTGCCAGTGTCACCATTGGTGACGCTCATGGGGGCTCAGACTCAGATTTTTCTGTAAAGCTGCTTTGTGACACCTGTTGTAAATAAAATGTTAGAAATAAAAACATGTTTTCCATTATACATCAGCTGTTATTATTTTCATTAATATAGGCAAACATTTTTTCTAATGAATGTGGTATTTCTCCATTATAGCAAAGCTATAATACAGCAAACATCAGAATCAGCATCATCTTGTTTGCATCAAACAGTTTAATTGCAGTCCCAAGATTCCTTGTGAGAAAGTTCAGTAAATCTATGTAAAACATCTCAGAACATACACAATAATAAACAGTCTCTTTCTCTGATCCCCAGAACTCACAGGTTTAGTACTCATACGCTGACTGACTGCACAGCGTCCGGCCCTGATGATGAAACATCCCTCTAACTTTGTTTCCTTTGGCCAGTTATGCTTCTTTTTTGGTGGAATTTGGGAAGTAAATGCTAAATACTGTCCTCTGAGTGTGGATTAATGCTCTGTTTGGATTTTGTGGAATGTTTTACTCCACAGAGACACATTTAAGCCAGACTATCAGACTTACGGGAAAGCGAGCGAGACGCTGCCGAGCAGGTCGTGTTCCACCACTTTTCCAAAACATCCTTCAGTCTGCAGATTCTTACTGATGTATTCCTGATACCCTGCGGTACAGAATGTATCAGGACACAATTCAGAACATGAGTAATAATGAGGTTTCCAGCTCAGACAGAGACCTGCAGCTCTGTGGAGGCCCAGTCACTGTATTTACTGTTACATTACATTCATTCAATTAAATTCACCATCAACCATTACCAGCAGCAGTAACACTAACCAATCAGTACTCAATAGCAGTAACGCTAACCAATCAGTACTCAGTAGCAGTAACACTAACCAATCAGTACTCAATAGCAGTAACACTAACCAATCAGTACTCAGTAGCAGTAACGCTAACCAATCAGTACTCAGTAGCAGTAATGCTAACCAATCAGCACTCAGTAACAGTAATGCTAACCAATCAGCACTCAGTAGCAGTAATGCTAACCAATCAGCACTCAGTAGCAGTAATGCTAACCAATCAGTACTCAGTAGCAGTAATGTTAACCAATCAGTACTCAGTAGCAGTAATGCTAACCAATCAGCACTCAGTAGCAGTAACACTAACCAATCAGCACTCAGTAGCAGTAATGCTAACCAATCAGTACTCAGTAGCAGTAATGCTAACCAATCAGCACTCAGTAGCAGTAATGCTAACCAATCAGCACT